TTCCTACTGCCCTTACCTGTGAAGGCGTATTCCATAGTAAGATTTTTTTCCAGGCTAAATAGGTATGCCACCAAAACCGTCCTACCCCAGACGAGTCCAAACCTACATAGAATTTTGATTTGTGTTCCCTTTTTATTGATCCCATCTTTGACGAATCTGCGCCCCCCAAATAAGCACTATCTTTCGGGACGACTTAGACTTTCGTATTTGGAACGGGTGCAACGTCGTGACATACATAGCCTTGTATGGTACATCGCCATGACATACACTGAAATCGTTTCTGAAATTGCGGAATGATTATGAGTGAATGGACTCTACTGAGGAGAATGGACAGTGCGCCTGAAACCTTTACTGCACTACTCACTTATTGATCGCCTGTTTCAGTTATCGATTGGTTCAACGACGACAAAGCTGTCAAATTCGACGTCGTTTGCAAAGCATCATGCCGTAGTTGGCACAAACACCCATGCCTCATTTCATGTTTACCCACAGCGACGTCCGATCGTTTTCAAAAGAGAAGACATGCAGTTGTTGACATTGGTACAGTAACCTACCGTAATTTGTTACATGCACTGCTTAGAGTGTTAATTTCAGATGAAACAATCAATTCATGACAATCTGAATCCTTTCCTTGGTATGTCGTTCAATGAGAAAGATGAAATGGTCTTACTGTGGAAGTTCTGCTCTCGTGGTACGGTCCAGGTACAGTCTGTTGATCTCTCGTTTTTCGTACTTTTGTAGGTAGCCAAGGTTGTAAGGTAATATGAAAGAACTTTCTTCTACTCAGTCAAGGGTAAGGATTGAACTGTTCAGGATATTATCTACAACAAGGACATGGTGTTGGACGCAAAATTCCATGGCGCTTTCGTCAGAGACATCACACTGGTGAGTTGAACCCATTTCCATCTCCGCCGGTCCAATGAATAATGAAGTAGCAGATTCCACTGTTCCACATTTCGGAATCCCATTTTTCCCCGGAGTGTTCTGTGGCACTGAGGCTTTGAGCACGGTGTGGGAAGTTTTGAGGCTCTCATCCTCACCCATGCATTCAGACCCTCACTCTGTATCACATCGCCTAATGGTTCCGAGAGACTTTTCAGCGGTCGAACGATGCATTTAGTGCAGAACCCACCGAATTCATTCTATTCACGAAAACTGCTTTTAAAAAAA